AAAAGGCCATTTATTTATCTCTAGAATGATGTACAAATGAGCGTTCTTGCTCATTTTGCCTCCGAGATATGAGCAAAAACCGGACGGAAAACATGAAATTTTGACGTAATCTTGCACCTAAGTGTCTGATATTCAAATTTCGCTTTCTGTGGCTCAAATGGTTCTTGAGAAACTTCGAAAAAATCGCGGCGGTGGACATTATCAAACGCCTTTGATAATGTCCAGCGCAGTTGTGGACGAAACGTCAGGAAGAAATTCTCATGGACCACGGCTTCAAAGCCCGAAAAACATTTCTAAACGTGATTTAACCGGCCGTGAAAGCCTTCAAGGCTGATAAATAAATTTTGCAATGATAATAATATAGTTAAAATATAATAATAACCAATACACCTCAATAAAATTATCTCAGGCTGTTTACTGTTTGATTTCCTTTTTCTGTGAGTCTCGAAGGACTCTTGTAAACTCTCTCGTTTCGTAAACTTTGCGTTTTACGGGATTTTAGGCCGCAAAAAATATAAAACAACCGATGAGTTTTTATAACAAGCCATGTTTAGAATTAACCGAAGTGGACCCTGCTTAAACAAGCTTGTTTCTCATTTTTGGGACGCCCGATTTGCAAAGTGGTTTCCCGGTGTGTTTTCTCCAAAGAATTGTCGACTAAATTTAAAATCAATGGTTTCCCTTCCTCAATGCAGGGCGAATATATCAAGCGGATAAACAAGGGTTTAAAGAAAAATGAAGCTAAGGTCTGCCAAGTGTACCAAAGACATTAACATTGGGAAAAAGTCGAGAAGAACGTTTTCAAGATCAGGCAAAAAATCAGGTCAAATCAAGAGCAGACCTTCAGGGTAAAACAAAAATTGGGCAAAACTGGACAGTTTTCTTTAAGTGTAAGACTTCCCTCCTAAGACAAAATTTGCTTCAATCCCGTAACTTCTTGCCAATGAGCCAACAGCAAATTTATCAGGCATTCTTTAGCTCAAGCTGAAAAATGTTGACAAGGTCGAGTTTTGCAGATTCTTTATCCACATCCATTCGAAATAGCATACAAGAAAAACATGTTGTTTTTGCGGTTTTGCGCTAGAAAAACCTCCTGGTACCACTGAAACTCGCATTCTTCGCTATCGAAAATCGCTGAACCAGTGCACCTATTTTAACAGTCTGTGATAGTTGATTTTAAATTTTACGGTAAGAACTTTGGGGCCAACAGGGCAAATATCAACTCTCAAAAGCTGACTTTTGCGTGTAACTAGTGCTTGATTGCACAATGGGCTTAGGTGGACTTTTCGCTGCAACAGCTTTATCCTAGRAGCACTTGAACTTCAGAAAAACCCTTAGTTTGCCGATAACTTCAATGTCCATAAAGTTTCACTTTGTAATTGAATTTTTCTCGCGAAAATCGCTTSCTTTTSCCTACATGGCATTACAAATGTKGGGGKTTTCCAGATGTTTCGGCTTCTCCTGCTGGCAGGTACAGTTGCATATTCATCGGCTTTCCTGGATAGCTTAATGAAGGGACGCAGCAACTGTTCCATATCCCAGTTTCAATGCAGCGACAATCGCTGCATCGCGGTGCAGGCCCAATGCGATGGCAAGAACGATTGCGGCGATTTTAGCGATGAAAAGGATTGTGGTAGGTTGGAAGCATCTTGCCCGGGAACCCTAAGGAAAACTCAGTTTGTTTGCAGATTTTATTCTATGCAGAGAACCCAGCTTTTTCCGCTGCAAAAACCGTCGCTGTATCGCCAAATTGTTCGTGTGCGATCGGGAAAATGACTGCGAAGATTTTTCCGATGAGTCAGATTGCGACTATTTCAAAGTGCGTAAAACACTGTTTATGAATTATATTGCACCCTGCTATGATAAGATGCAGGAGGCAAATATTTGCTTGAAAAGTCATGGATTTATTGCGGCAATACATTTTTTCCTTCAGCTGGAAAATTTGGCAACCAGCACATGCGGAGCGGGCGAATGGCAATGTACGGACAAAATCTGCATCCCGGAAGAATGGGTTTGCAATCAGGAGATTGACTGTTTGGATGGTTCCGATGAAGGTGTCGGATGCACCATCAACGATCATGAATGCGACGGCTTTCGGTAAATCGGCCCTAATTTTTCTCGCCAGTTAAAACTCTGGTTTCTTTCCAGTTGCACAAACAATCGTTGCATCCCCAAAGAGTGGCGTTGCGACACTCACGATGACTGCAGCGATGGCAGCGATGAGCGCGACTGCGGTACGAAAACTTCCCGGTAAAACCGATCGAAGCAACTAAATTTTTCGTTAAATTGCAGAACACCATTTCGACCCCACGCAATGCACTCTGGACCAGAAAAAGTTCCTTTGCTTGGACGGCAAAGCCTGTGTGGATCTCACAAACGTCTGCAATGGTCGGAATGATTGTCTCGATAAATCCGATGAAGGTAAGATCCATATAAAGAAAAATCACTACTGGAGTTGTGCATTATACTCTTTTCCTTTCTGGGTTTCAGTCAAAATGTGAAATAAAAATGTTTATATCGTTTATTTCGTATTACGTTTCGGCGAGGCAACAGCGCCATCATCAGATTAAAATTTCAAAACGAACTCATAATTGGGCACATTTGATTCTTTATATGCTTGCCAGGCAAAATGCATTTTGCCACCAGCTGAAGAGAGTCAAAATGTGAAATCAAAATGTTTATATCGTTTATTTCATATTACGTTTCGGCGAGGCAACAGCGCCATCATCAGATTAAAATTTCAAAACAAACCCATAATTGGGCACATTTGATTCTTTATATGCCTGGCAAGCATATAAAGAATCAAATGTGCCCAATTATGGGTTTGTTTTGAA